GCGAATGTTGCTGACCACGGAACAACCACGCGAACCTGTTCCAACGATTCCCATAGTTCCATATCAGACACCAGGAAAGTCGTAGGTTTCACCAGAGCATGTCCCAACGCTCCTTGATCAAAGTGTGCAGCGTACATTCCATAACGCTCACAAAAGCTTTTCACCTCTGGCCAACTCCAGAAGGTAGGACTTGAGAGCCCTTCCTGAGAACCATCCACCAGATCCTCAGCACTCAAGACCGTTTTGCCGTTCTGAGAGAAATCTTTCCCTATGAGTTCAGGGTCCCCAGGGCTTTCCATGCCAAAAAAGACAGAACTCCCATTGATGACTTCAGCAGTTCCACACCTTGAATGCACTGCCACGTCATATAGGAAAAGCATCTTCAGAAGTAAAACACCATCCTTTTGAGCTAATTCTTGATGTGGCCAAGGAAGACTTTTTAACCCCAACCGTTCAGGCCCACAGCGTCGGCGTAATACAGGTGGACCACCGTCTTCACCTCTCAACCTTGACACTGTCCTGCATGGAGGTCCTCCCACCACAGCAACCACCTTTCCTTCAGCCGCCAGATGCAGAAGATACTTCCAGACGCTCGAATTATGTAGGTCACCGCCTTTTGTCAAATCCAGCTCCAGTACCTCCACATCCCGACTGGGAAAATGCCATTTTTGTTTTCCTGAAAATAGGTGTACCACCACCCTTTTTGCTCGTGCCAGCCGTCTCCTTTTATGACGGTTGAAAGGCAACGCCGCAATATCTCCACGTGGCAACAGCTCCATCAGCGTATTTTCTGGTATATCCCCATAATGCCACCGAAGAAATCTCCAGCATGCCTGGACGAACTCCTCCTCATTCGCTGACGCTGTCCGCGCTGCGCTTTGCAACGACGTTTTTACAGCCACCTCGTTGTCCGTATTCGGACACCCTTGAACCATACGTGCCACCTTCAAAGCTTGCTTTGGTGAGCACCAATCCATTTCATCAATGATCTGAAGCGCCACCTCCTTTTCCAAACAAGGGCACCCATTCAGATCACGAACGCGAAGTTCCCCCAGAACAGGATGTGAGGCTGTGCACTTGCCACCACGCCACTGAACTCTGAGACCAACCAAGGCGCTCGCTTTGCCAATTGGCACTAGTGGATCTACCATTTCAGGAGTTACCAGGGTCCCACCTGGGGTAATACACATCTCCCGAGATCCAACAGCTAAAGACACCAACACCTTTTGCTGCGGAAGCTGTTCACCAGGACGAAGTGATCTGAGAGGATGTGATGCTCCCGAGTCCAACATGCCCATTCCCGAACACTCATTGGTGTCAGAAACCCTGGCCACATGTAGAACGCATACTCCTCGGCCTTCTCCCTGCTTCGGCAACAACGTGGCATCCGACGAACCGACTCCACAGTCCGCCCTTCCATTCCTCCATTGAGAATGGGACCAAGACGCACGCTGCCTTTCAGCATGCAAAACCATTTTTTCAGCTGTTTTGTAATCCATAACCAAACAGCCATGTTCAAACCACAAGAGCTGGTCCAGCGAAGATTTTGCACCCACGTGACACATCCCATTGATCACAGTGAGGTTCGCCCCAAACTCCAAAACCAACCAGAGAGGGATAATCAGGGGCCCATTGTCTTCCCTAATCAACGTCCCTTTCTCTGTAATCCTCATTGTCACACCACCAAGCGCGCTTTGCACCATAACAGTAGTGTCGGGTAAACATTCCCATGGAAAAAGCGTCCGCGCAAGATGCGTAGCAGCTGTATCCACCAACGCCACTCTCCCTTCCTGCTGAAGCAGCCCAGAGCCACATAACATTCGAATACTGGGATCCCCGCCTGATGCCGACTGTTCTGATGACAGCTTCATAGATTTCAGCACTTCTAACGCTTCAACAAGGACCTGATTGGCCGTTGATGGTGATGAGGGACTTGCAGAACCTTTATCCAATCCCGCATTAGCCGTCTCATCTCCCCCTTCAGCTACCTCTGCCTTTTTGGCATTTCCCCATTTCGCACCTTTGCCGCCCTTTCCCCCTTTGGGAGAATTCCCTTTAGATCTACTCCTCTCAGGATTTGAGTCCACATTGGAACTTACACCATCCTTATATGGACATTGCGGCTGCAGATGGCCAACGGCCCCGCACTCAAAACATCTTCCTCGCTCAAGGGAGTCTTTGTCATGGCGGAATTTGCAGCGAGATCCGAACTTGCAACCTGCATCGGTCTTCCCATATATCCAACAGAAAGGACGTTCACCATCTCCGCTGTACCTTTTTCCTTTCCCTTTGCCTTTGTCACCCTCCTCTGTCTCGTCACCAGTCCCTTTTTGGGCCTTATTTAACCTGGCCCTTTTCTTGGCGTCCGAGTCCTGCTTCACCTCTTGTTCACCAGCACTATGCAATAGCAGTTCAAACTCTGCCTGTAACATTTCAGCTAGTTGTGTCGCAGTTTCAGAGGTCGGCGAGTAGTCCACCCCCAATTTCTCCCGAAAGGATGCCACTCTGAAATGCACCGTAGGGTGTTTTGCCAGCAACGCGGATGATAAAGCATCCAATCCCTTGATAAGCAAGGTAGCGTCCGGCTCGGATGCTCGCAGCTCCCTTAATCGGGAACGCCATTGCGCCCATTGTCGCACTCCCTTAATAGCCTCTGAAATTGAGGTTGCTGAAGATGGTTGCACCAAGAAGTTCAACATTGTGCTGCGCTCATTTGCTCCACCTGGTTGGTAAACCGTCAGCAATTTGTAAAATATCATCACCGACCCCAACATTCGAGTGGAAACGATCTCGGTCTTCAATCTCTCCGGGATCGCCTGTAGCAGCAAAGACACCGCTCTCTGCTCCAACAAAACATGCACAGTTTGAACCACCTTGAGCCCTTCCAGCTCAGTCTTGATGCCCAACCTTTCCAGTGGAGAAACACTCAACCATTTGGCATACGCTTGATATGCCTTTGAGTAGACGCATTGCCACCACACTCTTCCTGTATCTGTCAGCGAAGACAACATTGGTTCGATCATTGCGATCCAATCACCCAGTGCCGTCGGATTGCTTGGTGTGTAGTCTGCCAAAGTTGGAAGGCTCATCACATGCTTCCCGAGAGCCTCCGGACGTTCGGTTCCAGAACTATCACCAGTGATTGGCATACCGCGTGGCACCACTGCTCCAGGAGGTAAGCTGACCCTTCCACCAGGCCCTTGAGGTAGTCCATGTCCTATACCAGGCGTAACAGCTGTGAGCGGAACCTTTTCTAATTCCAACTTCCCAGCGACCATTTTCCACCGATACGGAACATCATCCACCATTGTATATCCACCCGATCCTGCTGAGTTCTCTTGCGTTGCAGTTTCCCGAGCTGAAACAAAACCGGGCTGGTTCCCCGCAGGTGCGACAGAACCATCAACACCTGATGGCACGGAAGTAATCGGAACATGTGTTAAACCAGGTGGTCCACTTGCATATCCACCACTTGCAGGACCTCCCGTGGGGTAATTCAATGGAGGCAATCTGGAGGGTTTCTTCCCTTCAGCTACATGCATCATTGGCACTTCTTTTTCATCCTCCACTTGAACATCCCCCTTCCTGGACCCAGGCAAGGATTGAAGATCACAACCCTTTGGCAGGTCGTAGCCCTCAATGGGGGCAACACAGTCCAAAAACCACCCATACCATCCGTGTAGAAAACTTGTCCTGGCAGGTACTGCTTCTCTGGAGTCATTCCTAGAGGATATGCCGTGTTTGCGTCCACCACTCCAGAGCTCCGTGCCCTTGAAGCTGACCCAGATGCAGCAGAGGTATAGCTTTTTTCCTCCACCCGATGCAACCTGTTCCCCAGCTCCTTTGTCTGCGCAAGCAACTCTTCCAGCGCACGCTTCACCACCGCCATATCTTCAGTTTGCTCTTCACCACTAACATCAGGAATGAGTTCTTCATCGGCTTGCACTCCACCAATAGTACCTCGTTCCATTTGTCCCATTAAGCCTGACGATGGTCTCTCAACAGGTGCAGGTTCCTGACCCAAAAGGTCTTGCAGCGAAGGCGGTCTCCTCGTACCTTCGCCACTCCTATCCCCTCCGCTCGCGGGAAGACTTGCCGGCCTTGACTGCCTAAGTCTCATTTCTTCTTGAGCCCGCTCGCTCCAGAAAGGATTTGCTGCTTGAACCGGAACCACTTCGTTTTCCACCTGAGGCGTTGGTTGTATCATTGCAACCTCCCTACCATCTGTCAGTGCTTGTACCATTTGTTGTCGATCTTCACCCCCATCACCACGATTTCCTTCGGCTTCATTGGCCGTTGGCGACAGTCCAGGCTCAGAGCGACGCCGCATCATGTCCATGGCGTTAAACAAACGAAAAATCTTTACCAATTCCGCAGGAAGCCTAATTTGGGCTCATAACCTACGGGGGGCAACCGAAGGAGGACAGGGAACAAGACAGTCAACCCCAACAGAAGCCCTTATTACCCCTGGAACAACCAACAACCGAACAGCAAGACCCCAAACCAAGGGTACACTTTTTACGAAGGGGGGCAACCGAAGGAGGACAGGGAACAAGACAGTCAACCCCAACAGAAGCCCTTATTACCCCTGGAACAACCAACAACCGAACAGCAAGACCCCAAACCAAGGGTACACTTTTTACGAAACCTTCGACCGCTTTGGTCATGGCTTGAGCCAAAGATTACCGGGTTCATTGACCCTTCAACCTCCAATACCAACTCCTTTCTACAATACCAATTGCAGCTCCGCAGGGGGAATGGACGGGAAGAGGTGGTGGTTCTGGTGATGGTATGAATCGAGGGCCACGTTCCTGAACCCCCAATCTACGTTGACCAATGTGCTCAAGCAATGCGTTCGGCCCACCTACTCTTGCCACAAAGGCTTAAGCCTGGAATTGGGGAGGCGGGAGCGGTGGGGGAAACCTGTCTTGGAGGGCGTTCCCGAGGATTAGAGTCCACGCCAGTAAGCGGTTCTGGACCCTGAGCAAACTTTATCCGAGGATCTTTGGCACCGGTCTCTTCATTTTCAAGACCTTCCCCTTCTTCAACTACTACTGGGGCCGGGGCCTCTACATTCTTGCCTGTCCGTCAGAACGGGCGAGAAGCCGTAGCTTCTGGATTTACGCGCAGTGTTTAGGTTCAGGGTCGCGAAGAGTTTGGGCCATCGTAGTTGAAATCGTCGGGGTCGGCGCGGTGGTGGTGGTGGTGGTGGTGGTGGTGGTGGTGGTGGTCGTCGTCGACTCTTGGTGAGGGGGAGCAGTCGAGGAACAAGATGCCGGAGAGCGATCGACCAGTAAACCCGCTAAACCCGAACCCTTGAACCTGCAGCGCGAGTTTGCTGGGGGGATGTATGGGCCTTTGCTGGAGGAGTTTGCCGTGCTTAACGGTAGAGGCTTGCAGTGTCAGCAGGAGGTGCAAAACCTTCGGTGCACTTGTTATCCGTGGTCGTTTGCTTGTTGTCAAGCATGGGAGCTGCGAAGAAGTGAAGAAAGCAGTGTAGGGGTTGTTAGGAGGCGGTTTCGAGGCGGTTTCGGCAGGAGAGGGAGGAGGGGGGTTCCGTGGGCAGCATCGGATTGCAGCTCCCCCAAGCGAACTCGGAAGCTCTAACAGGCGAGTGGATGATGTGATGGGTCGGACCAGAATCGGCTCAGCATGAGTGGACTTATGAACGCTCGGTTGCCATGTTCGCGGTGTTCGCGGTCTTCGCGCCGTTCACGTTGTTTGCGTTGTTCCCAGTTTCCCGGTGTTCCCGGTGCTCGCGCTGTTCCCGGTGCTCGCGTGCTCGTGGCGGTTGCAGCATGCAGGTGTCAAGGTCTTCGGAACCTCCATGCCGCCTGACTGCTATTGAGACTGGAGCTTTTATGGCTGAAGTATGGAAGGTTTAGAGTGTAGAGTTTATGCGCTGACTTGAGGGTTTAGTTGAAATGTCGCATTTGTGGTGTAAGGAAAGTGTAAAGTTGGTTCAGGTTGGCGGATCTCGAGGATTAAGTCACATGATGTAGCCTTCTATAGGTTTTTGTGCAGTTTAGACTAGAGGGCTTCGGCTTCTAGACGATGCATGGCTTTTGGTGTCACTGCTGCACACAGCCCTTGAGCATTATATGTACTGAAAACGGCGGCTATCTCACTGAGCCTCTCAGCAACATTGCAGCACTTGTCAAGATTTGGGGGGAGACAGTGAAAGTTTCTCAGGGGCAAGAGTGATATCGTGTTGGAGCTTCTACGATCTAATGCAGGCTCAACCCCGACATTAGTCCTGCGCCACTGCTTGAGCATACAGCAATGGCCCAATTTGCCCCAGTGCAATGAGACGTCGTCCGGTACTGGCCCACAAACTGAACAAACAAAGGCCCATTGCGATGGACCTGTGCCGGAGTTTGATGCAGTTGGTGCTAATAGTCCCATAGTCGGAAGCCTGTCTCAGGAACCAGCCCCGAAATCCGAAAGCCCCCGGCCCAAGCCCAAGCCTTTTAAACTTTAGCCTTAGTCTTGAGCAGTAAGTGTGAACTCCACTTCCCCCTGACGACTATACACGGATACGGCACCTTGAATCCACAAATCGTCATTCTCATTCTGATCCCTTTTTTTGGTACTGCTCTGGTTTATTGTTTTGCTTCTGGTTGGGAGATTCACGATGTCCGTGTAGTAGGCCTGGAACGCATCAAGGTGGTGCTACACCATGTGGCACGTCCTGAACCGCCTTGTGGCAAAGACTCGTGGCTGCAGCTCATGGCATCTTCAGATTCCCTGATCTCCCTCTCACTTAACCCGGACCCCGGCCCCTCTTGTCCGAACCCGAATCCCCAACTGAGCCATGCTGAACGCCTTAAGTCTCCCCACACCCCGGCCATGTTGTCATGTTGGGGGCATGAGCCCCGAGCCTCAGCCCTTGCTGCACCTGTTCTTGACCTGAGTTTCTCACATGTGTCGAGCTGACATCTTCAGGATGCTTTGGGAGTGTCTCATGTGCCAAGTGCGAGAAAAATCCAGATTCACGTGGTTTAGGAACCTGAGGGAACTCCAAATTTTGAGAGGATGGGCATCACTCGAAGTAAAGGATTCTCTCCATGTTCAGGGGCGCGTATTTGGTTTCAAGGCCCTCCAGCTTATGATGTTGCTCTTTCGTGGTCGGGACTCTTTGGTTTTCAGGTCTGCTAGACTTACGAAGGATGAGTATGGGGACGCATGTGGTAGATGTGAGAAAGGTCGTCCCCAAATGGACTGGCGACTAAGGAGTGAAGTGTCGTCCAGGAAGGTTAGAATTCCTGGCATTCAACTGGCAGTTGCCCTTGGCAGTCAATATCAGTAGGATAGTCTCCTCTTTTTGTGCCAGTCATGGGCCAGAGGAGTTTGAGGTTTCGATCTGCAATCTTCAAATCTTCACCCTAAACCCTAAACCCCAAATGCTTCTCGGCCATGATTGGATGGCTTCGAGCCCCAGGACATGCCGGCGCAATGAGTACATGGCCGCCCAGAAGACGGCGCAGGAGGCCGGTTTTTTGCTTGGTGGCCCAAGCCTTTCCCAACAATTTAGGCTTGCCCCACCCCAAAAAACGAACCACCACTTATGTTTATCAGTGTATGACGGCATGTGACATCGTTTAGCTTGATGTCGGTCTCGAAGCAAGGCTAAGATCATGATGACGATGCGAAGAGCCTATGCGCGAGAATCATAAAGATATTGAGCACCACGACACGTGCTGATATTGATTATGGAGAGTATGGCATTGCTGATTACTGTCATAAGGGACATGCTCAGGTGAATGGTAATGTCGGACTCCATGGCACCGGTCAAGCAAAGCAACACTTCTCGCGTCCGACTCATCAAACAATAGCACCAGCGATGATGAACTGCCAATGCAGTGCGCCTGCCACAAAACTTGCGCATCTTATGATGAGGCATGTGTGTTTCACATTCTGTGTGGTTTGCTACTGTTACTGTACTCCTATGCCTCGACCTTCTGGCATGCAAAAAAAACCCAGCATGAACGTTCAACCCTTGTCGATGCCCGACAAGCAAGAGAGACATTTTGCCCGGAGGTCATGGAGGGCGAGGATGCCATCGTCGACTCCATGCGTAGATTCGCCAACGACGCGAAGTGCGTCGAGTATCTGAAGACCTTCAAGGAACTGACAGCCACTTAGGCCACCAAACCGCTGAAGCTGACAACTGTTGTCGAGCATCCTGCATCAAGATGCCGACTTCCCAGAAGCCATCAAATGTTGCTGAAGCAGCTCTGGAGCACTGCCATTTAAAGACGTCGATTTGGGTTCCTTCCTGTTAGTGTGGGAATTTTGACACTGCCCGCAGCACAGTCTCCAGCGTTGGTCTTCGAATTAGGGCTCATAAAACAAGCAGGTGAGTTCTTTTTCTTCGGGGGGGGGGGCTGGGGGGCGGGGGGGGGCCGGGGGCCGAGGAGGGGCCTGCGGGGGGGGTGGGGGGGGGGGGAGGGCCGGGCGGGGGGGGGGGGGGGGTCTGGGCCCTATTCAACGCATCTGCTTTCCACACTGAAGGAGGACTCCGAAGAAAAGATCGCGAAGTACCGCAAGGCTCTCCTTATGGTTCCAGGGTTCACGGCTCACGTGTTTTGGTGAAGTTTACTGCACGGTTGAGGGTCCTTGCGGTCAGCGGATGAAAAGTTGAAATTCTTGCACGGTTCTGGTGAAGGTTAGAGCGGAACCAGGCGGCCCGCCCGCGTTGGCCTTTGCAATGCAAGGTTCGTGTGCGGTTTCTTCTTCGGAGTTTTGCTGATGCTATAGGGGTCGGGAATAATTACTAATAGTATTCCCTTAGGGGCCCTTTACAATTACACTAAAATACCCCCCCCCCCCCCCCCCAAAACCCTAGTCTAATTATTCAGTTATTCAGGCCACTATATTTCGTTGTTTGAAGTTGTGCTTAAATTTTGAGCAGCCAGGCATAGCCCGGCGTTTGAAGTCCGCAAAGCTAGGCCGCCCCATAAGCGCCGCGATGTGAGGCGCTGGTCCTGAAGATGAAGGACTGCGGAGCTTGCCGTCGTTTCCGTGGGAGCTTCAGGTTCAGGGATCGACGCAGCTGTCGTGTTTTTGTCGCAGGCTTACTTCGAGATGGTGGCTAAAAAGGCGACTTCCCGGCCTTTTCAACTTCCAGTTCTTCCTCTCCAACTAGAGCTCGGTCGCAACGATATTCGCAGAGCCTACGACGGTTCGAGATATACGCCAGTCCAATGAGGGAACGTCTCAGCAAATGCCAACTGCAAAACATTCAAAAAGTCTCTTGCAAAATCTTCCCTGAGAAAGTTGTGAAAGCTCTCCTTTTCATTCTCCCTTTGCCACAGCCTTCTCACCAGCGGTTTCGCAACAGCGGCACATACCAAGCCCGAGCCTTTTTTGAACCCATCTCTTTTCAACTCATGCCGTTGTTTTCAACAAAGAACCACAAGCATGTCCTCTCTGTGAGAATTGGTTCACAGTCCTTTTTTAAGCAATGAATCCCTTAGAGGGGTTTAGGTTCAACGACTTGTCCCGAAGGACGACTTGTCGGAGAGGGCGCAGAAACAGCTGCAGGCCATTGCCGCTTTCGAGGCCTGCTTCTTTTTACAACGCAAGGCTGTTCAAGCTTCCTGTTTGCGCTGATCAGGGTTTTAACGAATCATGCATGATGTGTATGCTGGGTCTGATCCACGGTCATAAAGCCAAACGCTGCATCTGGAAGCAGCCCTGCCTTCATCAGAACCGTTCTGCTTTGCGATGTTCTTGCTCGCGAGCCCTAGATCCAGACGGGTTCCGTGCCCTTCACTGACACTCAACTCCCTATAAACCCTAAACCCTATAAACCCCAGAAACCTCAGAAGCCCCAGAAGCCCTAGAAACCCCAGAAGCCCTCCAAGCCCTCCAAGCCCTCTAAGCCCTCGCATCCCTCGAAGCCCTCGAAGCCCTCTAAGCTCTCTAAGCCCTCTAAGCCCTCTAAGCCCTCCAAGCCCTCCAAGCCCTCTAATCAGAAGAAGCTGCTGCCCTCACCCAACCCTAAACCCTAAACCCTAAACCCTAAACCCTAAACCCTAAACCCTAAACCCTAAACCCTAAACCCTAAACCCTAAACCCTAAACCCTAACAAACAAACCCTAAAAAACAAACCCTAAAGCCTAAACCCTAAAAGCCTAAACCCTAAACCCTAAACCCTAACCCACCCTAAACCCTAAACCCTAAACCCTCCCCTAAACCCTAAACCCTAAACCCTAAACCCTAAACCCTAACCCTAAACCCTGAACCCTGAACCCTGAACCCTGAACCCTGAACCCTGAACCCTGAACCCTGAACCCTGAACCCTGAACCCTGAACCCTGAACCCTAAACCCTAAACCCTAAACCCTAAACCCTAAACCCTAAACCCTCTCCAGGCTGGCATGGGCTCAGCCATGCAGGAGCTGGTCGTCCGCGAGGCGCCTCGCTTAATGAAAGGAGCTGAGAGGATGGCAGCGGCGGCCCTGGGCTTCCTTAAGAGGGTTTAGGGTTTAGGGTTTAGGGTTTAGGGTTTGAGCTTCCTGAATGTTGGGGATTTACGAAAATAGGGGACCCCCAATTTAGATCTCCTATCAGTAGGATCCCCCTACAACAGAAAGTGTACAATATCCACCCGCTTTAGAAGGAACTCCGCGCGTCCGGATTTCATAGGAAATTTCGTATAACCAACACACGCACCAAAAAATAACCGGCCTTCCTCAATAAGGTACCCCTGATTTCGGAAACCCCCATATGAGGGGTCGGAAAAATCACTAACAGTTTTTCCCTTATGGTCCTTGGATATGATTATACTATAATAACCCCCGGAACCCTATCCTAGTCTTTAAGGCCCCTAGAAATGAACCCTTTTTGACTCAACAGGATCTGATGATGCCAGCCCCCTCGGTCCCTTCTAAGGCCGGCGCATCTTTCAAGGAGAAGTTCCCCACAGACACTGGCATGCAGGACAAGGCCCGGAAGGGGGCTCGAGGTGTGAGGCCTGCGTTGTGAATAGGTACTGGGCTTCGGGCGTGATTTTGTTGTCTCTGTCTCTGTCTCTGTCTCTGTCTCTGTCTCTGTCTCTGTCTCTGTCTCTGTCTCTGTCTCTGTCTCTGTCTCTGTCTCTGTCTCTGTCTCTGTCTCTGTCTCTGTCTCTGTCTCTGTCTCTGTATCTGTCTCTGTCTCTGTCTCTGTCTCTGTCTCTGTCTCTGTCTCTGTCTCTGTCTCTGTCTCTGTCTCTGTGTGTGGTGTGTGTGTGTGTGTGTGTGTGTGTGTGTGTGTGTGTGTGTGGTGTGTGTGTGTGTGTGTGTGTGTGTGTGTGTGTGTGTGTGTGTCGTGTGTGTGTGTGTGTGTGTGTGTGTGTGTGGTGTGTGTGTGTGTGTGTGTGTGTGTGTGTGTGTGTGTGTGTGTGTGTGTGTGTGTGTGTGTGTGTGTGTGTGTGTGTGTGTGTGTGTGTGTGTGTGTGTGTGTGTGTGTGTGTGTGTGTGTGTGTGTGTGTGTGTGTGCGTGCGTGCGTGTGTTTGGGGCATACAGGGGACTCGCGTCAAAAGACGTCGCGGGCTGAAACTGTACATAGAGGCCATGGGGCTGCAGGGCTTGGCGTGAAGGGGCCTTGGCTGGGCTGCCCGCGCTAGTTTTTTTGTTCAGCCCACAATCCACAATCCCGCATCTTCATCAATCGCCAAATCCGCTCTCGGGCATTCCAATATGCTTTGCCTGGTTCGGCAGATCCCACCGAGGTTTCAGGGTTCTGGATGAGTTTTTTGGTTTTCAAGACCGGGGGTGGGTGGGTGGGGGGGGGGGGGGGGTGCAATCTTCTTCACAGTAGCAAGACCTCCAAATGTTTTGCTACCTTCACTGTCTGACGGTAGTTCTGCCATGTTTTGCGTTGCATGCAGTGAATGCGTATGCCAAAGTTGGCAAAGCATGCTCACAGGCATTCGCAGCAGCGGTGAAGTCGCTGTCTGGTGCAACAGTCGAAGCCGCAGAGGACGCTGCCCGCGACAACTGCGACAACCCTGAATTGGCCAACCTTTGAATCTCAAGAAGAAGAGTTTAGGGTTTGGGGCAGGGTTTATGCCGCATGCCCGAAGGCAGAGGAATCCTTCGCACACCCAGCTTCAACCCCCAAAGCTGCAGCAGATGTGACTGCCAGTCCTCGGCACGACTCGAACATGGAGGGCTTAAGGCGAGCGTTTTCGAGCTGGGTATTCTGATCAGGGCGTCCTTTGGTCTCTGTGTTTAGCATGCCAGCCTTGCAGCATCAACCTGCGTCCGCTGGCCTGGCTTTTCTCGCACTCATGACGCAACAACTTTAAATTCTTGGATTGTTGGGGACATGTCGTGTCTTATACTTTAAGCTGCTTTGGGACTTCGCGGGTATTAGCTAGTCATTTGTATACCCGGATCCCGGCGCTGAACCCTACATCAGACCCGGAAGTCCCAAGCTGTACTGCTGTCAACGCGGCACAGCATTCCACGCCGAGCTACACTCCGATTTGCATGCTGACGCGGCTGGAAGGATCCGGTCGCTGCACATTTTGCGAGCGCCTTCCAGTCCCTCCAGGACGGCAGGGTTGGTCGGTAGGGTGTAGGGTGTAGGGTGTAGGGTGTAGGGTTTCGGGTTTAGGATTTAGGGTTTAGGGTTCAGGGTTCAAGGTTTAGGGTTCAAAAGAGTAATGATGAGGTTCTTGTGGTGCGCGGGAAGCTTGGATTTAGTCTCCCAGGTGCCTCAGCTTGAAACAGTGTGCACTATAGACAACCTTACCAGGGCAACTCCATGGTTAAAGATGGAGCTTCGAGGGCTCCTTGTGGTCTCTTGAGTTGTTCATATACTCTTTGCAGATCTATAGGCCGGCAGGAAAGTTGCTTTTCAGACTTTCTAGGGCCCAAGCTGGTGTTCACTTGCCTCAGCTGAGAGAAAGGGGAGATGTTGGGATGCTCCCCCTTTTACTATCCGTCCTTAATAGGGCTGAATAGTGATTGTAGGGATTATCGTACCCTTATTAAAATTCCCTATTAAGGAGCTGTTAGCATGAGGGGGAACATCCCAAGACAGAGCCATCCTCACGGAGCCTCTGCAGGGGGTGGACCTGGCCACTGCGAAGGCACGTATGCTAAAGCTATGCTTCTAAGCTCTTGGAGAGTATTGGTGGTGCTTATTCATTGTATGGTGGGGTGGGGCATCGAAGGCCGAGCCCGAGGGGCAAAGGGCTCGAGGCTTTGATGAGTTTGTTTCGTTGAGGGCTTGAGGAGGCATGAGAGCCGTCGAGCTGCACCATGACCCAAGCCTAAACTCGGCAATTGCGGCATGAGCGATTCAACTTGATGCAATGTGCTGCGCAGGTTTGCTGGGCTCTACTGACTCTACTGTAGCCTCTTATACAGAATATTTCTGAGAGCTGCCTGAGATTGTGAAGGAAGCTGCCGTCAAAGAAGCATCTTATGAGACTCCGATCCGACATGTCAAGCCCAAACCCGATAGCTAAACCAACCGTTCAAGTCGCGGCCGTAGAGCTGAACCACGAGGCAGATTTTCCCAGGCCTGTAGGGACCCAAACCCTAAACCCTAAACCCTAAACCCGAAACCCTAAACCCTAAACCCTAAACCCTAAACCCGAAAAACCCTAAAACCCCAAACCCTAAACCCCATGACAGGCAGATGCCAAGGGCTCTTTGGCTGAGCGCGTGGCCTTCGCCCAGCAGGCCAAGGAGAAGGAGTTCCAGGACTGGGATTGTCACATGAATGTATGAATCTTGAATACTTAAATATACCAATGTACACACACATAGAAAAGATTATATGTAGACATGTATATTTTATTTATGTGTGAATATGGGAATGTGTATGTGTATTGTATATATGTATATTGGTATATATGCATGTATGTACATGTGTACCTTTGTGTGTGTATGTATGTATGTATGTATGTATGTATGTATGTATGTATGTATGTATGTATGTATGTATGTATGTATGTATGTATGTATGTATGTATGTATGTATGTATGTATGTATGTATGTATGTATGTATGTATGTATGTGTGTATGAACTTTTTCCTGTATGCATGTATGTACGTATACATCCTGAGAGGATCCACCTTGACACGAAACAGTCCTTACTAGTTCAACCACCCATGGCAAAGCAACTCTTCGAAGAACTCCAAGGAATTGCCCTCAAACCCAAGGAGACCTTCATGGTGTCCGCCAAAGAAGCCGAGGAGGTGAACCAGGATTAGGGTTTAGGGTTTAGGGTTTAGGGTTTAGGGTTTAGGGTTTAGGGTTTAGGGTTTAGGGTTCAATTTCAGAGGGTCCGGGGCTTCCAAGCGCAACAAGGGCTTCCTGTAAAAAGGCTTCGGCTTCAAATCTCGTGGCTTGGTGGATCTTAGGGTTGTCAGGGCGTTTGATTTGGGATTCTAGGGGAGTTCGAGGAACTCCAATCCCCCTAATTTTTGCACCTTTCCACAAATCACATTCCCGTGCTCCAGCCCTTGCAGAACGCTCCGGACCCTCTGATATTGCGTCTTTAGTAAAAGGGAGGGTCGTTTCGAAATCGTCTTCTTCATATTCCCGCCCCACCCCGCGTAGCCAGCAAAGCCAGACCGCCCGACCCCCCCTTGAACCCCTTCGTGCAGAGAGTTGCAGTAGTTGCAGCAGTGGGGAACCTACACTGCAATATCAGGAAGGGGTTAGGCGCTTCGTTCGGCCACTTCGAGGTCCAGGCGCCCGGGGCACCTAGCAATGTTCAACAGCTGAAAGGTGAAGTCGCTGGCCAGCAAGGCGAAGAGCGGCCAGGACCGAAAATTTCTTAGGTTCAGAAGGTGTTTGGGCATCCTTGAGGCAGCGTCGGAGCTTTGAGAAGGTCTTGGGAAGTTCACGCAAAGGGTTTTTTCGAGATGTCTGCTCAGATATTTGGGCTCCAGGAGTACATTTGATCCAGTTCGTTGCTGTGGCACTGCAGCATCCGAAGAAGGAATTCCCAAGCCTCCATGCCGTGTCCGCGAGCGTTTGAGCCGTGCCTGCTAGGGGCGCGCGAAGCTGTGTCCGCTTCAGAACATGTGGCCCTTACTGCATTAAGGGATGCTGGGCCACCAAGCACTGTACACCGAAACCATGTGAAGACATAGACTGTACGCAACAAAGATTTTTGTTGTGTGCTTCGCCAACAGTACTTCTTTCATTTGCATTGTCTGCTACCGAAGCTCCAATCGGCGTTCCGTCCCCAAACTCGTTCCCGCCACACAGACCAAGCCTAGCCCGACAGGACTACGACTTCAGCAAGCTCCCGGCGGACGCGCTGCAGCGGTTGGAGGCCTTTGGAGTTTCCAGGGTTGGGATTCCATGCTGCAAGAGAGCAGCCCAGTATGTTTGTTGCGGGCTCTGGATGTATGCTGTACTCTTAGTTAGCTCTTGCAGGACAGGCATATGTTCTGCTTTTATAGGCTTTCAGTCCTCGTCCTCGGCACTCCGAATGAAGGCTTGCTTGAATCAGCTTGAACACAACACCGATTCAGTGTGAAGTTTCAGACTTCTATTCGGATCCTTGAAGTTATAAGGCTCCTACAGATAGAGCGCAGCCCCAACCTTGAGCCTAGACAGTGAGCCCATCCTCAAGGAACCGTAAGGCGCCTTGATCTCCACAGCCCACGCTCTGAAGCTAAACTCATGTCCAGCTGAAAGAGCCTGAATTCGGGTTCGACTGGTCAAACTTCCAGATCTGTTCGAGGAAGGAACTTGTGTGCCATCGATTTGAGAACGCTACAAAGCATGAGCCGGTTGGTTGACATTGGATGCAAGGCCCAGTTGCTGTATTTGAGCTCCGACGCAGAATCGTCACACTCCCCCTGTTCTGGCTGTTTTGCCGGCAGGCATTGTACACCAGCATCAACGCCAAGGCTGGGCGAAGACATAGGGGTTTGTTGGTGTGTTTCGGTGTGCTTCGCAGGCCTTTCAGGCCTTCGGGCTGAAGCTCTGACCGTGCAAGAGTGCTTTTAGGGCTCTGCAGATAAAATCCTAGACTACGGACCCTAGAGAAGGTTCCAGGGTTCCATGGCTTTTTTGGGATCAATCCATGGCTCGCATTCGGTGGCTGAACAATACTCTGCATTTACACCTCTCGACATGCAGGTGGGCTACTCCTTGCCCGAGTCCCTGGGTACCAAGCCCATTGCTACCACAAACGATAGCGCTGCCAACTCCTACGTTGACAAGGCTTCGACACACGCAGTGTTCGAATTTCTGTGGGGTTTCTTCGCCGGGCTTCCAGGATGGTATCTGGTCATATCTGGGCGAAGAAAGTACAAAGGGGGTCTTCGTAGGGGTCTTCGGGGTGGTTAGGGCGTGTAGCCTTTGGATTGATCTTGTCTCGTGCGTTGTTGCTTTTGGGTTCAGGTGTCACGGCTTGGGAAGGGACTCTGAATCTAAACCCTAAACCCTAAACCTGCCTGAACCCCAAACCCCCAAACCTTAAGCCCTATAAGCCCTAAACCCTGAGCATTCGAGGCTTCTCAAACCTGCTTTAGTTGCCCCCTGGTGGCTGCATACCCCCTCAGATAAGCCGAGATCTAGTTGCCGCAAACCTCTTGATGGCCCCCCCTGAAAGACCCACAGAAGTTCGCAGAGCTTTGCCACAGAGCTCCGCCGAGCTTCGCCTAAACCCTAAGCACTAAACCCCAAATAACCCTAAACCCTAAACCCTAAACCCTAAACCCCAAACCCTAAACCCCAAACCCTATTTCCTAAACCGCGAGAGGTCAACACTCAGCTCGAGACGGCCGCTGCCAAGCTCCGGGATGCCAGGCTGAAGGCCTTCGTGCAGGCCTTCTGAAGGCCATGCCGGCTCTCTCTCAGGGGGTTTAGGGTTTAGGGTTTAGGGTTTGGGGTTTAGGGTTTGGGGTTTAGGGTTTAGGGTACGGGGGGCAACCGAAGGAGGACAGGGAACAAAACAGTCAACCCCAACAGAAGCCCTTGATCCCCTGGACCAACCAACACCAAACCAAACCCAAAAGACCAAGCACCCTTTTCTCACTAAGTGCACTGTCATCTTGAGCCAAAAAAGATTTCCGGGTACGTTGACCCTTTCAACTCCCATCACCAACTCCTTTCTACAATACCAGTTGCAGCTCCGCACTCCCCCTGTCCTAGGATTTCCTAGGACACATTGGAGGTGCAGATCTTTGGCCAAAAACCGCCATTTAGGCAGTAGCCAGCTGCTTAAAATGCACATTATGGTTTTACGTCATCCAGGACGAACCTTCAGCTCATTGGCCGAATCCCTTACCATTGAGGATTTCTTCCCCTCGCACTTGAAAAATTCACGTTCCAGCGGCCCGTTCCTCACCAAGGAACTCGGCATTCACCACCCAGCCATCCTTGAGGCAATGCTTACAAAGCGTCTTAGCCCTGGGCTGTGAATATCGCAGAACATCACAGTCACTGCTTGCGTGCATACAGTTCCCACCCACTGTTGTATACAAAGTGGCACTCGCAGGAATAACCACCACTTTCTTAACCCACAGCCATTTATACAGCTGCCGAAAGAGGCACCATGCCAATTCCCAGAGTATAATTGCTGCCACCAAATACGCAACAAGGTCTGAATTGTTGATAACCATTTCAATACCTTGAGCCAGAACCATCACCGTAGATGTGTTGGCGACCTTGCACACCCCTTCTTCCGAGCAAAAGAAACCAGCAGTTGACACTTCTTCGCCACCAGTTGCCATCCCTTGCAGAGATGCAGCCACCATCATGACCGCCATTGCAAGCGAGGCCCTCTTCAAGTCAGTCCCTTGTACCAACAGTCGGAGACCCCAAAGTGCCTTTTGCTTTGCATACACCTGTCCACTCATCAACTTGGTCAACAGGTCAGCGATCATATACTCACCGCGAAGATGCGCTATCACCATATAACCACGGTCCACCAGAGACCTGACACCGGCTGCTCGAATTCTCAGGTGTCTTGTCCTCCAGCTTCCAGCAGGATATTGAATGATCGAGCACGTTGAAACCGAATCTGTATACAGCACTTTTTGCAGCGATTCTTCACCTGTTCCAACCAAAGCGGCAATTATAGGGGTGCACGACTGAATCATCGTTGCTCCCTCTATGGACGCATGTAATTCAGCTTCAGCTGTACTTAAAGCCACCGTTGATTGTCTCTGTGTTGCCCACATCACTGGACAGTCACCCCACACCACCACCGCTCCTGAGTGGCTCTTTTCATTTTCACCTGCTGCAAAGCTGGCATCCGCATAGGACTCCACCACCTTGACGCCTCGTCCATAACGCAACACCTCATTCCTTTCTTTTTCGCATGTTGCGATTGCTCCGAACGTCAGGCCTAACATTGGAGTTGCAGCAAGGTATCGAAAAACCTCCTCAGCCTTTTTAACCACAAATCGCGGCCTTCGGGATGTCCACAAAGACAACTGGCTCGTGCAGAACGCCAAATCAGGTCGAGTTTTGATTGCCACCCAGAGGAACTCCCCTACGGCACCTTGAGCCGCTCGTAAGGAAGGAATATCCACCTCCTCTTCTTCACCTGGAGTTTCTTTCACCATTGGCAGGTTACTACCTTTTCCAGTTTCATCAATCTGACACCCTCTTCGGTTCAGCAAATCTCTCACAAAGTCCTCCTGGTTGAGAAAGAAGCTGCCATTTCGATACCAGATTTGGACACCCAAAAACTTCAGGAATCCATCACCACAGCCTGGACCACAGAACTCGGGTTCAGAAGTTTTCCACTCCTTCCTAATCTGTTCCAAGGCTTCCCGGAGCACTGTCATAGTCCCAGCCATCAAAAAATCATCCACGTAAAGACCCATTGTCCCTACCAACTTGCTTGCACCTTCCGGCTTCTCTTGCGCCATAATAAGGAACAGACTTGGGTCTGCATTGGACCTCTGAAAGCTCATTGCTTGTCCATCCTTTGATACCCAAGACATACCTTGAAGACGTTGGTCTCGCCACTCCACCCATGCTGCAGGACTTTCGGCCAAACCGTACAAGGCCTTTCTCACAATCCACCGCTCCTCTTTTGTGCAAAGACCCAATTTCACCGCCGCCCTTGGGGGCTGCACCACCACCAGACGCCCTTCTCTTTGCGCCCTATTCATCGGCGCCGTCAGAAAAGCTTTGGAAATGTCTAAACCAGCGATGATCCACACCATATATGCTGCGTGCCTCACTTGACACCTGAATGTAGTTGAATCTAAACCTGGAGCGTACAGCGAGTGACGACTGAGTGACCTCGGCCCTTCATATTCTGTAGCTGCCGTTGACGAAATGAAGTTTCCACATGCACAGATACGGGCACGTCGCCTCCCTGTCCCTTGCTTCCGGGTAAACACCACCAGACTGGGAACGTACTCAATCACCGGTGCATTAGGCTCTTCCGCCAATTTGTCCAGCTTTTCTTGAGTTGTTGGTTCCACCACCTCCAACTCTTTCACCAAAGACGTCACCTCGTCCGACAATGATTCCCTCCACTTTTCCAGCTCTTGCATGGCTTCTTGTGTAGGGATTGTTTTTGTTTGCAGGAACTCAACCTCCTCTGCTGCCTCAAGCGCGGTATTTTCTTGCACCATTTGCTGAACTTGAGCTGCTTTGACCAAAAACTTCGAGAGCTGTTCCTCAGCCCTTTTCGCTTTAACCAGCCATTCTCTAGTTTCTGATCCTTTTTCCTCATTCGACTCATTGGCCGATCCATGGAACTCGTCCAAAATGCAACATTCCTGTTCAGCAATTAGGCGCCGAATACTCAAATGCTCCTCTAGAGCCCATTGATGCGCTTCGAACACAGCGTAGTCGACTTCCTCTGCAAGGTCGTCCAGCGAGGTTTCTTTCAACGTCATTTTTAACCATTTCCTTTTTTCACCTTCTTCAGCTTGTGGTTCTGGAAGAGGAAACTTGCATTGGAGAAGATAGCACCTATCCTTGTAGCTCAAACGCTCCATAAAAACAGGTGTGTGCCCTGTCAAGGATACCCTGTTCCCTTTCCAAGGCATAGGACCATGCAGTTTTCTCGGAAAGAACGACATGAAGTTCCAGTGGATATCCACCAATTTTCCAGGTAAGACTTTCTTCCCATAGGATTGCTCCACCACTTCAGCTCCTTCCTCTAAAACCTTTTCATCCTCAACCCACAGCTGACCATCTTTATAGTCACCAAAGCCACACACATAATTGCAGCAGTGCTTTTCATTGTGACTATCCCTATGCAATGACACCGGAGCATTGCACGAGATCTGAAGAGCAGAAAATTTGGCTTCAGGATTGTGGTGCCTCACGAATGATGCCAAATAACGACATAGCCATGGTCTTCGATGAGTCTCTTTTGTAATACCACACACTCCGCCATGAGTATAGTGGCCCAACGCCAGAGCTCGCGTACTTGTACACCAATTGTTGATACCACCTCTTCGATTCACCCTCTTTGGGTATACAATCCCTTCCAAAAGCTCCTCACAGTCCACGTAATCATACATAGACCTTTCATACATTGACTTGGCTTTTTGCTCTTCTTTGTCCAACTGTGTTCCATCCTCAGCAGTCTCACTTTTGCAGACCAAATAAGCATTTTCATGAGGAGAACAGCAAGTCGGCCAATACTCATCACCAGGAACATTGTCCTCAACATCTGCATTTTCTTCCAGCTCCCCCAGACCCTGCATGTCATCCTCAAAAATTTCTAAGGGCGGACTCTCCCCCCGCTTGCGAAGCAAGCGCAAGGAACCCACATGACCACGCAGTGAAGAGGCCGGGCTTTTCTCCATCAACCGATGGCGAACTGGAGGATCGCGAGGCGGAGGTAAAGGAGGACCTTCCTCATCAGCGAACCGAAGCGCCGGTTTTTTCCCCCTGAGACGATGCTCTGGAGGAGAAGGCTCCTGTTCTCTACCACCCCTTCCAGCTCCAACTCAGGCGGTTCCTTTATATTGGAAAAAATCGTAGTGCAGGGAAATAACACCAGTTCATCCGGATCTTTTGCAGTCCCTTGAGCTTCCACCCAATAACCACCAGGTAGGTCATCGCATGGACCCAAAAGAAGCGCGGGCTGCGTACGATCGACCCATTGCCGACCTTTCTTTGTTCCATCCGGACCCAGCAACTCCCACGGACGACGTTTGACTTGAATCTGAGCACCAAAGGGAAGCAATGCTTTAGGATTTAACCCCAACTCCCTTTCAGCTTTCTGCCACCGTAACATTGACCAATGGCGAGCAGCCAGTGCCCAGTACGCCGGCCCGAGTCGCGCCTCCTTTAAGAGCGACCTGACACCACGTTTGAATAAACCCACACATGCTTCAGCGCGCCCATTTGTTTGCGGGACTCCAGGATCACCAGTGGTCCTATATATCAGACGAGTTTCACAAAAGGACCGGAAGCGTGCATTGACAAACTCCCCCGCTCGATCTGAGTGGATTCTCAACACCGGATACCCATGTCTCTGCAAGCGCACCATCATTCTTTGAACTGCCGACAAAACAGTTGTTTGCTGTTTGTCCATAATCGGCTCCACCATAACGAAGTTGATCATACGGACAGGTTGGGTCAAGTGGTCCTTCAGTTCCTTCCAGGATTTTTCAGAAGCTTGGATTTTCAACACCTCTGCCTCCAGAACTGGCGCAGGTTCCACCGGCGCAGAGTCTTCCTCCTCGAAGTTAGCGACTGCATCGCCTAACCATTCTCCGACACCAGCACCATCATCTGCCACCTGATCTTCCACCTCATCCGCATCTCCCTCCTTTTCTGGAGGGCGACCCACATTGGGATCCAACATTGGAAACTGATACACACCAATAACAGCGTGTCGTGGCTTCTGCT